TCTTCTAGCTGTACTGAACAGCCTCCTCGTTTTGGTTCTAAGCCCATTCAGCTGTTTACTCCACCAGGGCGCTCTCCTTGGTCCGCGAGTGGTCTTAGCCGGACAATTCTGATTAAAGGACGAGATAATAGCCCTTTGCAACTGGTCAACGGACCGATCAACATCCTTTATTGTGCGTATATTACGCGAGATGGCCTCCAGATTTACCTTTAGGTCGTCTTTGTAAGACTCCCAATTGGTTCTCTTAGGATTCCTATAAGTAGTTTGATGTACTGTGATGTTACCTATTTTAAAGGATATATATCTGTGATCCGATAGAGACGGCTCATCAGATACATGCCTATGTTGTTTGTCCCTAGTGTCATATCAGTAACCTCCTTCCTATTACAAACCTCAAAGATATGTTGGTTACCATGGTTTAGAATATTCAGGTTCGAATTCCATAAGGCTCTCTCCCCTTGGGTTAGTACCGGTGCTCCCCCACAAGTTGTGGTGCCCGTTAGCATCACACCCAATGATGAGTAGCTTTTTCCTCCTACAGCAGTAGTCTGTGATGTCCCTCATTTCCTTAGTTGGTGCTGGTTCATCCGAGTCGTATGGAAGGTAGACTGAAGCAATAATCAGCTCCCTGCTGCCTCCTCGATACGTGTATGTTATCCTTACCGCTGTTGCATCCCTAGAACAGAGCTCCAGGAAAGGCAAGGCATTAACATGTTTCCTGATATAAACACATGTTCTTGCATTATTATTGGGTACAGCAGAGTAAACTGTTCCCCCTTTATTATTTAAGCCCCTTATATGACCCTTGTATAACCAAGGTTCCTGAATAAGTGCTATGTCAGCCTTACCCTCAGCTAGTTGCTGGCACAGAGTTGATGTGGCAGCTTTGCTGTGGTGTAGGTTGATCTGAAGAAATTCCATGGTGTTTGTATGTGCTGTGTGTGTGTGTTTGTGTTGAGTGTATGTATATATTAAGTGTGTGTTTGTTTAGTGATCTCTTTCATTTGGGGAGGGTTCAATTTCAATCTTATGTTCCTCCCCGTCCTTGGACTGGGTTCCGTGTGAACGGGTCCCCTGATCCGCTTTGCTTTGGTCATCCGGAGTGGGTGGGTATCTCATCTCCCTCCCCGTGAGAGACCGTGAGGTTCTGCCGGGCGCTGAACTTCAGGATCATTCAGCACCTTAGCAGTCCCCTGTGAGAGTCCTGTAAATATTTTGTAACCGGTCGTCTGTATAACAGTATGGGAGTCCCGGTCTATGAATAAGATAAGCCTCTGGCCTTTCGACTCAGATTGCTTATCGAGTACCCTTTAGTTCCCAGTAGAAAGTCCTGGATTGTGGTCTGCGGTCCATTTCAGCAGCTTTTCCTGATTCTGGGCAATTTTGTCCCTAGTGCGGAGTGCCACTTTAACAGGCTTGGGCAGGTTCCTGGCATCAGTAGCCTTCAGCGTGGTCCCTGATTCCAGCATGTGATTGTCAATGGCTTTGGTGAGCCATTGACCAGACTGTTGGTTGGCGCATACATAAGTAAGTGCACCTGCCACTAGTCTGTAAGATTTCAGGTGTGGTAGTTCTCCCTTTGGAGTCCTACGTAACACCTCCCCTAGTACTTCAAGAATGGAACTCTGGTCATCTTCGGTAATTTTATCCTCAGGATAAGTTTCCTTGAAGATAACTACCTGTTTATTGGTCAGAGCTTCCTTGTAAGTCCCTGGTCCCTTAGAGTGCCTGGGCCTTTTCGGAGTTTTAAGGGTCCCGGTAGGGGTTTCGCCATGCTTGGAGGAGCCTGCATTTCCTGGTTGCTGACTGCCCCCTGTCCCTGCTTTGCTTGCCCCAGATCTTGCCTTCTTCAACTTCCGTCTAGCGCATCCGGAAAGTGTCTTCTTCGCTAGACGGGGTCCATCTACTCCAGAGAATAGGTGTCCTCGTCTTTCTCCTGGTGTGTTAGAAGTACTAACTCCCTGCAGTTGTGTGTCTGTACTACTGACTCCCAGGAGAGTAGTTTTTGGTATTATCTCAGGCAGGTTTTGAACCACTGGTTCGTCCCTGCCTTTGGCTGAAATTTCAACAGCAGTTTCGCTGGTTGCAACTGGGCCCTTTAATGGTTCACCAGAGCCTCCAGCCTCCTGCTGAAGCATTTCTTGTAGGGATGCCGTTGGAGGGGGGAGTCCCTCTTCAATTCAAGGTTTTCGCTGTTCTTCCGCGCCCTCTGATGCTGCTGGATCTGTTTATGATCGTTGTCGTGATCCAGCAGCATCAAAGGGCGCGGAAGAACANTTTAAAATTAGAACTAAAGATTTTATTATGGTGCTATTACAATAAACTCAAAATTAACGTGTGTGAAGTAATCTACGGGTGGACAGCTATCAACGAAGTAGAAGTTGATAATGACAGGGAGAGTGTTTTAGATGTTAAATTTTGAACTGGGTGCAGTGTGACAGCGACGTGAGTGTTATACACCTGATGATGGCCGTCTGAGGCCGAAACATGTAGTGTAGGGAGCAAGATCAAAGACACAAGAATATATTGTTTGCACTTGAGACGGAGGTTATATCATTTATAATAAGTTGAACTTTAATTCACGAACTTTTAACCGATAATAATAAAACTGGTTGGAAAGAGCTGGACACAGTGGGGAGTGTGAGTGAGATGAGACTGTGAAACAGGTGTAAGTGAAAGTGTGACCAGTGACATGAATTTAACTTCGATTCACGAAATTTTAACTTTTGACAATTAAATTAGAATAATATATTTTAACTTGTGTTTTATAAAAGAACTTGATATATTACTGAGCGTAAGTCTGGATAAGATACAGGGTCGAATAAAAAGCGAATGTGACCGCGTGTAATTATACAGCCGTGTTCGTACACCTAAGATTGACCTCTTGAGGTCGAAACATGTAGTGATAATAAAAAACGTGTTGTGTAGTCGGTAAATTGACTCTAATATTGAATTCAGTGGTGTCTGACATTCATAATTATGTTATTTGTAATTAAACACAGACTTTCGGCTCCTATCTTCTTGGGGAATTACGTGTAAGTTATAGTTTATTGTTCTTACATGTGGAATTCATTTTCATTGAAGTCGAACATCATACATCTTGCAGAATTGCTTGCTTTTTGGACTTTTTTTCGTCGTCCGGAATTCTAGGAAATAGAAAACACGACGTTTCGGAAACTTGATCTGTTTCCATATTCAGGTGAGGAAGGAAGGCACCTACTCAATTGGGTCCTATAGAAAGACCTAATCTCAATCACTGGAGTTAGTTAACATAGCTAACTTCATCAAAGCCCAAAGATTAAGTTGACTTGGACATGACTGGCAGCCACACGCCATAAGAAAAAGAGGCCGACCTAAGAGTAGATGGAAAGATGACGTAAGGCTTTAGGAATTTATAACTGGATAACTCGCACACAGAACAGAGGTAGTTGGAAGGAAATTGTTGAACAGGTCAAAGCGTTCAAGAAATGAAGCTGTCGAGCCTTATGAAGAAGAAAAAGAAGAAGAAGGAGGAACTCAACGGAGTAGGTGTCTTCCTTCCTCACCTGAAAACGGAAACAAATCCAATTTCCGAAACGTCGTGTTTTCTATTTCCTAGAATTTCGTATGATGGAAAAAGTCCAGAAACCCAGTAATTCTATGTGTTATCCACCATCGTCAGAAGCCTTTAGAATCTGATCATACATCTTGTTAACGCCGTTAAGATTCTGTTAAGTTTATACCGAATCTGAACTTCTATTGGGTCATCGCGTGAATAGAATTCGAACATGAGTAAACTACAGCTTGAATGAACACTGTTCGCTTCTCCCGAAACTTCTTCTGTTTCATGCTACAAGGGCGACTGCAAGAGCAGTGTTTCCAAATAGAGGTCGCTCCTCATTCCGAAGTCATGTACAGGTGTATCATGCAAACTCAAGGTGAAATAATCACTTCTTTTTAAAACATTAAATCGTATGGAATAAGAGTCATGTGTAGTCATATTTTACAAGTAAAACGTTTCTTCTAACTTCCAAGGGATTTGTTTACGAACAATGTTCAGCTAATAGAGCACGCTGAGGCTGATTATCAAGTTAAAAACTTATATTTATAATTAATATTATCTTTAAATATGATCACCTAAGACAAATTTAAGCCGATCACAGTGGCCGCGTGTTCTAATGAATGAATTCTCTTCCCTCACTCGAACGCTGGGATCATGGGTTCGAATCCCACTCAAAGGCATGGATGCTTGTGTGCATTTATTCTGTGTTTGTATTGTTTTGTGTGTAGGTAGCGGCCTTGCGACAGGCTGAGCCCCCGTCCAAGTAGTCCTATCTGCCGTATAAAAAGCTCAAGAGACAGAAGGAGCTACCAAGACTCAACAAAAGGCTGTAGAGCCATAGATAGATAAGACAAATTTAAACATTAATTTAAAACCATACCTCATTTCTTTTTAAGGTCTTTATTTATTGACTGTGTCCATATCGAAGCTGCGAAGGGTCGGATAATAGGATGATCAATGTCTATGGAGCTGACAGTCAGATGAGAAATGGCAGAGAAAACCAAAGTAATTGGGGGAAACCCCGCCCTAGAGCCACTTTGTCGATCCCAAAACCCAGAAGACCTGACCTGGATCGAGCGAGGAAACACCCTGTTGGGAGCCGACGGGTAACCTCCTGAGCTGACACGGCTCCATACATCATTCAGTTCTGACTGATATGTCATATTATTCTGCGTAATAGCATTTCTGTGCACTACAAAGGGTATATTTGACTTTTGACATGTCTGACTAGAATCAGATTCGAGATATGTTATGAATTATCTTGAGATCTTAGATTCTCATGGCGGTGAATATTGAAATCGAGGTCCTCTTGTATCTTCAGAGTGTAAGATGGAAGAGGCTGGTTCCTCCGAAAAGTTGGCACCCATCTGCCAAACTACAAACTGTCACATACCAGAAGACCATAACAGAAAAGAGGACTAAGATCAGGTTAAGTGTATCTTTATGTGATTTTTTACAGGACCTGTCCCAGCAGAGAAATGGCCTGTTGTGGTGTCGTTTCATCCTGGGAACTTCAGCGTAGGAACCACAGCTTTATGGGACGGCTCAGCGCTCGCTGTGAGGCAAAAGGTGAGGGAATCGACATCACGCCCAGCCATTGCATGCCATCAGTTCCACTTGAAAGCAGGGTGAGCACAAATGATGTTCACAATTTCGGACACTTAAATTTCACGCAAGAAAACTGCATAATGAGGAGCTACATAAATTGTACGCTTGGATGAAGTCAAGGAGGATGAGATGGGCAGGACATATAGCACGAATGCGGGGGAGGAGAAATGCATATAGGATATTGGTGGGAAAGCCGGAAGGAAGGAGACCACTGGAAGGACCAAGGCGTAGGTGGGTGGACTGTTACTTAGTCCCAGTTTGAAGAGGTGTCCTTTGAGGTGACAGTGTCCTGTAAGTAGTCCTACCACCCATCGTTGCTGGTTCCTGTTTAATTTCAACATATCCTTCGCTCTTTTAACAGAGGGTCCTCGTATGAGTCCCTTTGCTTGCCTGAGTCGGGAATCATTATAACTGTGTGGGCAAGATTTGATTACGTATTTTGACAATTCTAGCCTAATTTCCGAAAGTTCGGATGTGTTATATTGCCTGATTCTATTACATTCATTTTCCGAATTTGTGAAGATCATCTGTGCTCACTTGACACATAGGTCTGCTTATATACTGCTTCGTATTGCCTTACAAGCATACTTATTACTGTATTTGTAAAATTGTATTTTACTTCATTTTACCGTCAATGCACGTATTTTGAGCTGTGCAATATTTTATTTAAAATACACTACGTGTCTCAAGCTATTTGGCAGTCGTCAAGCGGTAAAATATCAGAAACAGTAATTAGTGAACTTTTTTTTCTCTCTCTCTCTCTCTCTTATTACCTTATTGGTCCAGCTGTTCCTATTAGTTTCACGTTCTGTATTTTGAGAAGGGCGGTATATTTTTGTTTGTAAAATAATTACCACTCATTCAAAATTTAAATGTATAAAGGTAAAAGGAAAGTTAAAGTGATATTTAGAATGCAAAATACATGTATAAATTATGATTATCTTAGTGAATACTTCCACCGTAGCCCTGAGAATCGTAGGAAGCGATGAAAAGAGAACCCAGTGTCTGAGGGTTATATAATTGGGCCACCATGTTCTTGGGGGGATATAAATACGGGGACCTGGTCCTCCAGGTTTGTGGATGCTAGAATCTGAGAAAGTAGAATGTGATCATGAGTTCCGCGGGACTGGGATCTGAGAGTGACTGAGCTGGCGAGGACCAGCAGCAATTGTAAACGACAGACCCATCCCCTCACCAGAGAGGATGTAACTTTAGAACTATGATCGCAAGTGTTCAGTTGAAAAAAAAAAAATAGCTGGCCGTGGGTCTCAAGGGGATTGGAGCCAAGACAAGCTGATTGGCGACAAACCGCCAGTCGTAAAGTGACTCTGACCCTGACTCTGACTCTGACTCTGACTCTATTGAGACAGAGAATAGAGAGGGTCTCTAGAGATGCCAGCTGAATGATTAAAAAAAGATGCAAGAAAGGAATTAGGTTCATGTGTGCTGCAGTTACATTGAGACTGAAATAATTACTGTGTTGAAATCCGTTTCCAAGACACGACTAGTGAAGATTGAGAACCGTATTATATGTGTAACGGTGAGCTGTGTAGTCTGTAGATCAGCGATAACGCTGCATTGCTTGTAGTTACAAGTTGAGTGTGTAAGTACAATAAATCGAATCATTCAATCCAAACCCGTCCCATAGTCACGCACACTCCGAAATACGTGGCAGTATCCAAGTCGTCAATTTTTTGTGTGTGTACAGATAGTCACTTGGTTATTTGATGCATGATAAAAATAAATAAATTATGGCAACAAAATAGCGAACAGTTCACTAATTAACCTGTCTGCAATTGCATAACTTCAGGATGAATAGATCGCAAAATTTAATGGATTTTAAAGACATTTTGGAAGCCTCAAAGTAGTGGTGTTGGTGATATAATAAAGTGCAACTTTACTAATGTCTTAATATAAATGAAAACAATGCAATAATTGAAAGACACGATTACGCTCTGTAAGAGGGATAAACTGTTATAATTCCATTCACTCAGATATACATTTCTAATCAGAACCAATGCCCCACAAAGTCTAAGATGCATTGTATTAAGAATGTAAGAAGAGCTAAGATCTGGAGAGAATTTTTACTGCAATTGCGTCCTGTATGCTCTTAAAGTAAAAATGAGAAACGCGATCTATTTCATGCTTCGCCATAAGTTGGGAGCTGGCATATCGAATGACTACGGGCTGGAAGAACGAGAGTTCGTAGTTCGAGTCCCGGAAGGGTCAAGAATTTTCCATTCTCCACATCGTCCAGACCGGCTCTGGGGTCCACCCAACCTCCTATCCAATGTGTAACGGGGGCTCTTTCATCGGGGTTAAAGAGATCGGGTCGTGAAGCTAACCACTCACCTGCGACTGCCGAAGTCAAGAAAATGTGGAGCTACACATCCACTCCTCCATACACAGTCGCGGCGTAGTGATTAATTAGACACAGGGACAGCTTCACCTTTACCTTACGTCGCGCCAAGAAGGAACAGGGGTCTAAAATATTTCGTGGAGTGGAGCTTGAAGTTATATCCACGGGAACTCTTCTTGCTGCCACTTTGGAGCATAGGGCTGATTTCTCAGTTTCTTGATCATTTTACAGACGGTAGGACCCTTTGGACGGGTGATCAGCTCGTCGCAAGGCCGCTACCTAAACCCAGGACAACACAAACACAGAATAAACGTATACAAATATCCATGCCTTGAGTGGGATTCGATCCGAGCGAGCGAAGACAGTGCATGCCTTAGACCTCTGGGCTACCGTGACCGGCAGTGTATAAGAATAATATATAAGAATTCAGTTCGTACCTCACAGGAAACAGATCCGAACCCACGATCCCGGTTTCCAAGCGAGCGAAGACAGTGCATGCCTCAGACCGCTCGGCTACCGTGACCGGCAGTGTATAAGAATAATATATAAGAATTCAGTTCGTACCTCACAGGAAACAGATCCGAACCCACGATCCCGGCTTCCGAGCGAGCGAAGACAGTACAGCCTTAGACCGCTCGGCTACCGTGACCGGCAACTCTGTATTTACTTCTGAGGAATTAACCGTTATTTGTGTTTTTGTGTACTTTCTCTTTATAAGACGGCCAAAGAAAAACTGAGCCTGGTGTGAGGATACTAGTGGAGTACCGTGTTCACTCGCATCAGACAAATCGGAAAGTCTGTGTAAAGTAATGCAACACTTCTTTACAGTGCAGGGTTATTAGCCGCCGCGCAAACAGCAAAGTGAAGAGAAACCTCTTTGTGGCTTTCCGCTATTGCTAATTCAAATAAAGTAAAACCTCCAAATTCGAGAATTTTGCTTTCACGTGAATATGTTATTCGCGGATACTTAGAGTATAACTGAATAAAAAAATGAGGCTAGGTTTACGGCGCCACAAACCTAGTGAGCAACGAGACAAATATAGAAAAGAAAATTAGTAAATAATAATATATTTCTTTAGTTTCTTGTGATGGGGTGAGGCTGAGTCCACTCGGTACGTCGGCCACTAACTGACCTACTGTACCAGCCCCTGATGGCAGATGATGATCAGGGTGGAGCAGTCGGTGCTATAAGAATTGGCAGGGGAAACCGAAGTATTAGGAGAAAGCTTACCCTAGTGCAACTTCGTTCACCACAAATCCCAAATGACCTGACCTGGGCTCGAATTCGGGCCGCCGTGGTGTGAAGCCGGCAATTAATCACCTGAGCTATGGCAGGGCGTAAATAATACTATAGTCTATATTAAAGCTATCCTGTAACACGCCGTGGAGGCCCATAAGGTTGTGAGACGTCGAGGCTCCCACGGTTTCTAGACAATGGCTCACAGACGGAGGTAAGGTTGTCAGACTTACACGCCGGCCGCCTTTTACCCTCCTGGAAGATTCCTGGTACTCATTTCTGTTAGAAGTTGAGTTGACCCCAGGACCATAGTGCGACTGGAAGAATTAGGTAAATTAAAAGAAATCCACCTCATCGGGACTCGAACCCGCGACCTTCTGTCTTGTGGCATAGTACCTCAATAAACAATGCTACTGCCATATAGCATATATATACGAAGAGCAACAACGGTATGATAATAATGAACTATCCATAGAGGAGGACTGGAGTTTGTTGGGTCTGCTCGAGACAGACAGTTTCGGCTGCAAAAGAAATGGCGAAGACCACGCGAATTCCTGTTTTATGTAGTTCTCTTTTATTTTAGGGATGCAGCCTTGAATTGTTTCCTATCTGAGGTCTCTGTCGCATTCCACTGCCTTGTCTAACATTGCCCGCTGCAGTTACATTATTTCAGCCAGGGCTTTTCGGTTTTATTCACTGACTTCACAGCAGATTCGTTCATCCCAAAATGTCGGCCAGTTTAGGACAAATTCCCACCTGTAGCCACTCTGTCTGGTACTTTCATTTTGTGCATCACTATCTTCCGTTCTTGTTTCGGAATAAAATAATTTGAAGTAACTTGCTTTAGCTTAGCCATGATTAGAAGCAAGTAAGGACAAATAAACTAAATATGTAAATAAGAGAATGAAAACCCCATTATGCCCTGAGGTTTTTACACTGCGAGGGTCGTTGGGACAGTGAAATCAAGTTTTCGGGACTGAAATAAGGGAAGAGAACGTGGCTCTACAATACCTCCGTGGCCTGTGGTTCGCAAGCGAACTATACTGACCGAGCGATCGCCGCTTATCAGCGAAGTTAGTGCCAACTTTGGCCGCGCCATAGCTCAAGCGGTTAGTCGCTGGCTTCCCACCACGGCGGACCGGGTTCGATCCCGGCTCTGGTCAAGTGGGATTTGTGATGGACAAAGTGGTGCTGGGGCAAGTTTTCTCCGAGTACTTCGGTTTCCCCTGCCAATCTTCATTCCACCAGTTGCTCCACAATCACCCTCACCTATCATCTGGGTTTGGTACAATAGGCCAGAAGTGGCCGCAGTACAAGGGATTTAGTCCCACCCCACTAGCATTAAAAAAAAAAAAGAATAGTGCCAACTTTTGCGGATAGAGGGTGTCACGTGGTCAGAGCAACGGATCCCCATGGCCGTTAATCTGTTTTCTAGACCCAAGCCGCGATTTCCTTTAAATAGCCCCTGAAATATCCTCGCGAGGCTGAGTGGCCCCGTTCCAGACCAACTACTTCTCAGAAAATACGGTAGCTCCGGGAATCGAACCCGGGACATCTGAACCTGTAGTCAGGAACTCTGATCACTAGACCATAGAGGCGGTCCCATAATGAGTCATAACTTTCAAGTATAGAGAAGACACATACACAGACCTATTTCAATAACGGTTATAATTTTTATTCTTTAAGTAGTAAAAGTCTAACATTTTACTCCTTGCTTCAAAATTACACACGATACGAGGCAGAAAACAAGCATGGCTTATTAATTTTTAATGGAATAACCATAAAGACAGTAACACATTGGGGAAAATCCTATACGACAAAATGAATAAATCCAGTTTCATCTAACACGTAGTCTTCTGTGTTACAGGTGATTGTGGTAACACCTGCGTACCGCCTCAACATCCTGGGCTTCTTCGCTTTGGATCCTGAGTTTTCACCTGGGAATTATGGACTGTTAGATCAGGTGGCAGCACTGCAGTGGGTTAATGACAAGATCGGTGAATTTGGAGGTTCACAAAATGACATCTGCATCATGGGACATGGTGCAGGGGGCACGAGTGTTGGTCTGCATATGGTGTCACCATTATCAGAAGGAAAATTTAATCGAGCAATTGCTATGAGCGGTAGTGCATTCAGCAATTTAGTAGGAAAAATCCCCGATATTCAAGTGTACAAAGATATAAAATCCTTTGCCTGTGAAGACAGTAAAAGTAATAAAGACCTTATAGAGTGCATAAGAAACCTTGAGGCCTTGCCTTTGGTTAAATACTCGTGGAATAGGCACCCATGGGGACCTGTGGTGGATGTCGGCGACGCTTTCTTACCCAGGGATCCAGTGGACTTCTTTGATACACAAAAATATCACAAGGTTTGTTGAACTAATTTTAATGCGTCATATTTCCATACACAGTAAGCCCCAGTTTGAACAGTTAATTTGTTCCCAAGATTTCGGCATAACTCGAAGCCTGTGCAAGCACAACAGTGTTCAGGCACTACATACTCTCTGGCATATAAAAGAAATGTTAAGCTATCCCTGTAAAAGGTCATCGAGGCCCCCACATATTCTGGACAATCGGTTCATAGTTGACGGTGAGGCTGTCAGCATGACGCGCCGGCCACCTTTTACACCCATAAAAATTCCTGGTATTCATTTCTGTTAGAGGCTGAGTCGACCCCACGGCCATAGTGCGGCTGGAAGGATTAGGTCAATTGAAAAATCCAATGACCTCATCGGGAATTGAACTCACGACCTTCCGGCTTGTAGCATAGTGTCTCAACCAACTACGCTACCGCATGCCCCTTATGACATGTACGTTCATATCCATGGATAATAAAAAACAAAGGATTATTATAACCGGTGTAGACTACCAAACCTGCGACTTGGGCGATGGTAGCTGGCATGTGGATGGATAATTCTAGTGGATTGTTATCTGATGGTAGTTATTTTGGTGGTGGGATTTACTGAGGTAGGTAACCTTTTTCGAAGGCCGCATTTACGGAGAAACACAGCTAACATTCACCGCACAATACGACACAGTTATGCGAAGAAAGTTCGCCAGTTTATACACGTGGAACTCTGAATTACCCAAGACGCAGACGCGATAAGGCGTAATGCTGTGATTTGATAAGTTACTGAACTGGATTTTCTGATATTACTTTATTTGAGGAAATTGTTGGAGCGGCCAAACCCGTCCCTTGACATCCCAAAACTGAAAACAAACAGCCTCTTATACGACTTGTGACAGCGATGTATCATTCCTCCATGAAACAGCTACTGATTCCAAATCCCTTATTGATAACTGACTGATTCGAACAGAGTTCATCACCCTTAAATCGAATATATTCTCTCCCAATGGTCAGAACTAAAGGAAATTACGTCACTGTAAGTAAGTTTTCCCATAAGCGGCCTCCGTAGTCTAGAGGTAACGTTCCCACCTCATGACTCGTGGTACGCGGGTTCAAACCCGGCGGAGGTCGTGGAATTTTTAAGGTCGGAAAAATTCAGGGAACAAGTCCTCCGGGAGGGACTTTAAGCCGTGGGTCCCGTGTCGTAGTTTTACGGCATGTAAAAGAACCTCATGCCTCAAGGAGGCCTCTGAGCTAAATTATATCGGACATTTGCCGCCCAACAAGAGTCTCTAACGCCTCTGGTAGATGGGGGAAGCATCAGGTACCGCTGAGCCAGTAGAGGCCGAACTCGCTGGCTGAGTCGGGGCTGATGTCACGCACCAGTACCGGTAGGGTATAGAGACTGGTAGAACATCAAAGAGGGACGTACAATATACTACTAGTCGCGGTGCATGGGGAAACCCACCCCTCCAATAATAATAATAATAATAATAATAATAATAAGTGTTCCCATATCTGCCCCAACATCTACTTCCGCCGAATGGGCCCCCTCTGAACCTGACTTATACTACAAATATTATGTTTTTGGACATTATCCATCATCTTGTCTTTATTTAAAACCCGTCTACTTCATTTTTAAAAACACAACGTTTCGGAGACTAGATTCTGTCTTCGTATTCAGGTAAAATATACTTAGGCCAAATCAATAGAGCTAGTCTTGTCCGGAGACAGGGACAGCAGACAATCTGCCTTCTTCATTTTCTATCCTGATGAAGGAAGAAGCGGGTTCCTCCGAAACGTTGGTAACTATCTACCAAACTAAACGGTGTGTCGTCGTAGAAGTTGATCCCTTGTAATTTGTAGGAAGCTCATTCCATATTACATTTTCGAATATAGTTTTAACTGTATTCTTGTCGGAAAGAATTGCACATGCGCGCTATGTCTCGTAGGTCTATGGATTCCTTCGCATTCCAGTCATATTAGAGAAATAATATAATTATAATAATATCATAATAATTATAAATACAAGACGGAACACCCCGGAATATGAATTTATCTTTATCTTATCTAGATGTTTTTAAAGGGACCGCCTCTATGGTCTAGTGATCAGAGTTCCTGCCTACAGATCCAGAGGTTCCGGGTTCGATTCCTGGCGTTACCAGATTTTCTGAGAAGTAATGGGTCTGGAACGGGGTCCACTCAGCCTCTTGAAGATAATTGAGGAGTTATTTCAAGAAAATAGCGGCTCCGATCTAGAAAACCGAGATTAACGGCCGTGGGGATCCGTTGCGCTGACCACGCGACACCCTCTATTAGCTAAAGTTGGCACTAACTTCGTCGACAAGCGGCGGTCACTCGGTCGGTATACTTCGCTTGCGGACTCAAGCCACGGAGTTTAGTTCCTTTTAGTTTAGATGTTTGTAAATATTTGACTGATGTTTAAACAATTCTTGATGTTTAAAAACAAATGTGTTTATTTTTCTGCACTCTCAGGTCGACTTCTTGACCGGATATACAGACATGGAGGATGCACTGAAAATTCATGGAACGGTTCCGAAATCCGAAAAGGGAGTCTCTTATGAAGTCTTTAAAGATCTCATTCAGGCTGAAACTCAGGATCAATATGAAGACGAAAATTTGGGAGAAGCCGTTGATCCCAACGACACTTGCACCATCAATGTAGACCACTTACTGGCCACGATTCTCTTCTACTACACCCCTTATCCGTCATCACTAGAACCGGAAGTGAATCTTCAGAAGTACGTGGAGTACACTACGGAGAAGAGATATGGTGCTGACATCTACAAACAAGCACGATTAGTCAGCAAATCTAGCAAGACATATGTATATCGTTTTGACTACAAACCAAAAAAGAGCCCAATTGCAGATTTACCGGAGTGGATACGTGTTCCCCATGGTTTTGAACTACCATTCTTTTGGGGGATGCCTTACTGGCCATCTCTGCCCCAGATCTCGTGGAACACTGCTGACCGCAAGGTTGCCGATATCGTAATGTCATTGTGGACCAACTTTGTGAAAAATGGCAACCCAGCTCAAACGGGTGTCAAATGGGATGCATTCGAGGAGACTGCTCCAAGCGTCATGATCATTGACCGTAATTTCAACATGAGCGATCCTTCAACTTTTGATCATAAGGCATTTGCCTTTTGGGTTGATTATTTCCCGAAAGTTGTTGATGCTACTCAGTGCTGCAATATAACTCAGAATGGTTTTAGAATTCACAGCAACCCAAATTTGGTTTGGGTTTTGACAGCACTTGCTGGCGTGCGTTTCATTTTAGCAAGATAATATTTGACACCGTAAATATTCTACTGTAGAACTGGCTCAAGATACACAAAATGAGTCGACTCTGGTAAGAGTAAAATGCTTAATCCATGGTACACAGTGAATGACGTAGTGTGTACTTAATCGCCATTTTGCCTGCAAATATAAATTCTTTAAGTCAATTAGAGAAAAATAAAATTCTAAGACTTGAAGTTTTCGCGGCGGTGACTGTGAAGAAAGCCGTCTTCTGGGATGTGGCGCAGTGAATATATTGTTAACTGACGTTTCGGAGGAACGTGTCGCCTCCATCTTCGGGGTAGAAGAAGAAAGAAAATCACTGAGCGAGGAATCAGAGTACTAATGTCTGTCAGCACCTGTTCACGTTAGTTCCTCGCTCGCGGATTTTCTTTCTTCTTCTACCCTGAAGATGGAGGCGATATATTCCTCCGAAACGTCGATTAACACAATATCTACACTGCGCCACATCCCAGAAGACGGCCTTCTTAAAAAATAACATTATTTTCCATAAGAGCAAATTTATTATAATACAATTGTAAATAAATATTTTCACCTTCCTCTGATATTAATAAGAACACCAGTAAGAAATTCACCAATGTTTTCATAAATTAAAATAAGGAAGAGATTAGATAGAATTATTTCATCCTATGTGAATTATAAATATGACAGTTTCATTACATAGGCCTGTGCTGAGATCACGTGATGAAGTCCCATTGTTGATGGGGATATTCACCTCAAAAACTCCTAGCCCAGTGCGCTTGTCGCGCTGCCGACATTCCTGTGAGCAGAATTGTTACATGACTGGAGGAGAATACAGGGAATTACAATAGGGGTAGAGGAGCGCAAAATTCTAAGGAGATATTGACCGCTTTTGTGATCTAGTTGTTCCTGGCTACAGATCCAGAGATCCGGGTTCGATTCCTGCCACTTACAGTTTTCCTGAGAACTAATGGGTCTGGAACGGGGTCCACTCAGCCTCGTGAGGATAATTGAGGAGTTATTTCAAGAAAATAGCGGCTCCGGTCTATAAAACGGAAATTAATGGCAGTGGAGATCAGTTGCGCTGACAACACGACACCCTCTATCCGCTAAAGTTGGCACTAACTTCACCGACAAGCGGCGGTCGCTCGGTCGGTATAGTTCACTTGTGGACAAGAAGCAACGAAGTTTTGTTTTTGTTTATATTGATAGGATTCATCAATTATTCTTCTTTACGATGCCTCAGAATAGTCAATGTATCAGTATTAAGAGCGTAGTCCATGATATTGAGATTAAGATATGTATTAGAATAATATGTTAGATTGAAGAAATAAGTAACTTTAAACTAAATTCAAGATACAAGGCCTTGTGTCCTCAAAGGAAAGTGCACTCGTGTTCATGCTGAGAGGGTTTCAATTGTTATCATCAGTGCCATAAATGTGAAGTTTGAAGATACTTGTAATATCAATTTTTAAGTTTGCCTAAATTCTCAGGAAGAAAATATAAGTGTCAGAGATGAACACCTATCCACCGGAGTGCCAAGAAATTTAGTTTACAAAACAACTCTTTGAAAAAAAAATAGGAATAGAATAGAGAAATGCAGTGTAGTTAAAATTTATTAAATTCACGGTAAGAATATTTTCGAATTTGTCTATTACAACGTCCCCTGTACTATAGTTTCCCGAAATATCTCCTTTAACTCTCTCTTTCTGTCCCTCTTAAGCATTTTCTGTGGAATAATAGATTTAGACTGTAAAATGGGATAGAGGATCAATGTATTTAAATAATACAAACATGAAATTCTTGAGCATGTGTCATAAATAGTCTCATAGGATCTCATAGTGACTGTGTGGTTCTCACAAAAATGATATGAAAAGTTCTGTCTTCTGGCCCTTCTTGCTACCCGCATCACCCAGGTTTCTTGACTGGCTCTTCTTTGACACTGAAGATGGTGGCGTCATGATCCTCTGAAACGTCAGTTAACTTTCAACGGACTTCTTGGTGTTATACCCCAGAAGATAGAACTCTTGAATTGATTCGAATACATTCTCCATTTTATCATCAATTTGTAACCATTCCACGTGAGCGGCCTCCGTAGTCTAGGGGTAACGTTCCCACCTCATGACTCAAGGTAAGCGGGTTCAAACCCTGCGGTGGTCGTGGAATTTTTAAGGGCGGAAAAATTCAGGGAACAAGCCGTGGGTCCCGTGTCTTAGATTTACGGCACGTAAAAAAATCCTCATGTTTCTAGGAGAACTCTGAGCAAAATTAGGCAAAAATTTTCCCGCCCAAGTAGTTTCCAATGCCTCCGGTAGATGGGGAAGTTATCGGGTACCACTGCCAGAAGAGGGCCGACCTCGCTGGCAGAAAGGGGCGGATAGTGAGCACCAGTACCGGTAGGGTATGGCGACAGTAGAAATTAAAGGGGGGCGTACAATAGACTACTAGTCGCGGTGCATGGGAAAACCCACCCCCTCTAATACTGAATACTGAACCATTCCACGTACTAGCGATAAATTCTTTTTTTATAGTTAATAGGCTAATTTGTTTCACAATAAAACTTACAATTACGATATTTTTAATATTTTAATTTTTCATTAGTGAGTGACATTCGGCAAAATAATTTACCTACACCTATATGGAAAATATTTCGATGTCTCGTCTCTTGTTTTCGGCGCAGCCCCCCCTAAGTAAATTTTAATTAAAACTTATATTCAATAAGCATTTTAGAAACGTGAAACAAATTGACTAGTTTGGACCATACTGACCTATCAGAGGTACAACTTTCTTAATAAGCTCAAACAAATATTTTTAGAAACGTTACTTTAAATGTAAACATGATGGACAAATCAAAAATACTGGACCGGATTTTAGGTTCTCACAGCGGTGAGTACGAAGACTTCCTTGCTGGTTCCATTTTTGTCTTACCTTTCGATTCTGAAGATGGAGGCATTGCGTTCATATGAAACGTCGATCAAATTCTACCACGCTTCAAGGCGTCACTTCCCAGAAAGCAATTATCTTAAATAATAATGAATTCAAGGTTAAGGTTGGAGTTTATTATATTTATTTATCCATTTGGTTTACTCCAACAGTGGACACTGATATGTTACTATTACTCTGGGTTGAGCTTTGGAAAAGCATGTCGCATGGTAATAGATAGTAATTGTAGTGAATCGTTTCAAGTTAATACATCACACGTTTATAAAGGAAACTTGGAATTTCATGACACAAAAGGAAGGTAAATAAATTCTGTACAGATAAGTTGCCATTATTCTATGAGCTTATCTACAACATTTTTGTTTTATTATAGTTGAATGCAAACGGACCGAACATTCCCCGCATTTTATGGAACCAGAAAGTTCATTACCGTGTTCACAAGAGTCGTCCACTGGTCCCTATCCTGAGCCAGATCGATCCAATCCATACCATCCCATTCTATACCTCTAAGATTCATTTTAATACTGTCCACCAACCTACGCCTTGGTCTTCCCAGTGGGCTCTTTCCTTCTGGCTTTCCCACCAATAGCTTACATACATTCCTCTTCTACCCTATTCGTGCTACGTGCCCTTCCCACCTCATCCTTCTTGGCTTGATCATTCTAATTATATTTGGAGAGCCGCGCCATAGCTCAAGCGGTTAGTCACTGGCTTCCCACCGCGGCGGCTCGGGTTCGATCCCGGGTCTGGTCAAGTGGGATTTGTGGTGGACAAAGTGGCGCTGCAGCAGGTTTACTCTGAGTACTTCGGTTTCCCCTGCCAATCTTCATTCCACCAATTGCTCCACAATCACCCTCACCTATCATCTGGGGCTGGTACAGTGGGCCAGAAGTGGCTGCAGTGCAAGGGACTTAGTCCCACCTCACTAGCAATAAAAAAATAGTACAATCCGCCAGTGAGTCAGTAAATGAGTTAGTTTTAAGTTTTGTTTAGTGATAGGAGAGGTGAAGAAGTGAGTGCAATGAGTGAGCAGTAGGGTTGTGCTGAGGTTACTAATGGATAAACAACTGACCTTAAGGTCACAAGTGGTTAAGGACGGTGTAACAATAGTTCTTCCAAACATCGATGAAGTTTAGTGCACTAAAATTCTATGCCGATAACAGGCACTTCCAAAACAATTGTCTTCATTGGAGATGGGCATTTTTGTAAGAATATGAGGTTGACTGAAAGTTTAAGAGATATTTCTTAAAATCTTAAGCAACCGGCTGAGGTCCTGGGAAGAGATACGAATACCGACACTGTTCTGGCAACACCGGGATGTATGTCACCGTACTTACAAGACACACGCAGAAGCAAGTGACATGTGGGCAGCTTGTAAAGTGCTAAGTCCCACGTAAATTCCTCTTGTAAACAGGACCTAAGACTCACTTTCTTACATTTTTTTTTTATTTTACTGTCCGACCGATAACTATCCATTTTCGATGAACATAAAGAATTGTAGCTACATGTTCTTTGAAATTGGATATTCTCATAGCGGTGAATGCAAAAACTGTGGTCTCTTTAATGTGACACGGGGTGGTCTATTAAGAAATTACTAAAGTTTCGGAGGAATATACAGGCGCAATCCTTTGGGTATAAGATGGATGAGTTACAATACGCCGAAACGTCGGTAATCATCTACCTGAATAAATGGCTTCATTCTTCAGAAGACCTTGACGTTGTTCCGCCTCTCGCGACCTTATTGGTTTTTTTATAACAAAAATATTATTTGAACTGCAGGGCGTAACAATTAGGAAGTTCCTCATTTATACTCCACTTTCATTTAACTCTGCTTCGACCTGGATATTTTTCTTATTACCTCGCTTTCAGGCTTCTTGCGTTGGAAAAAACTAGAAGAATTTATAGAAGATGTTTTATTTTAGCTTACCTCTCATTTTTAAAAAAAGTAAAAGAAAGCACATAAGACAATCTTGCTGTCTATTTGCCTGTGCATCAGCGTGCCCTCCTGACCGTCCTCTTTATTTTTTTCATTTCCTGTGCCGTCCATGTAGTATGATTTTTTCTATGCGGTCCCTGATGTACCAAAGGAAAGTAAATGGTTATTTCATCTTAGAACTTCTTGTGATAAAAATAATAATAATAATAAATTAAAGTCATGATAATATAAATAAGGAACACATCCATTCATTCATTCATCAGTAATCTGTCAGACGACAGGTCCACAGTCTCTTCCAAAACAGTTCCTCCACTTAATGCGATCTCAAGATTTCTCCTTCAAATAAAATATCCTCTTCTGTCCCCAAGGTCATCCAGCA